TAATTATGTCAATATCTTTTAGAGATAAAATTAAGAAACAAAAACTAATTTTCTGACTATAGCAAGGGCAATTTAAGAAATAAAAAGCTTACCACTACTTTTGGAAGTTCCTTGTAAATCTGTTTCACAAAGTCCAAAAAATGATGAATCTAGGAAGGAAGAAGACAGTTGCCATAAAAAAATTTTTAAAAGATAATTTTAAAACCACAATTTTAGAATTCTGTTTTAACAGTACAAACACATCAAATCTCTATTCACCAGTACAGCATATTTTTCATGATAATTGAAAATAATCTGAAAGTGTTCTCCTACCTTCTGCTTAGTTAGCATTAATTCAAAATTCACTTGGAAAGAATCTGATCTACCTATCATCTCTACAGAGTTCCAATACAGTGTTGTTAGGTATAATTACTGTGAAACAACTAAGTCTTCCCAAAAGAAAATCAAGGCAAAAAGCAAGAGAATAACAATGCAAACTTCCAAATTTCCCTTGATGAGTCACAAGAGAAAAAAGGGGAGGCAGGGGGAAGTCAATCAGAGTAAATTCCTTTTCAGCATTTTCCTTTACAAACTAAAAAGGCATAAATTCTCTTCCTTTGTGTGGGAATTTTATTCCTCAGACTGCTCATATTGTCCATAAACATTTATACCAAGTACAACAAAACTTTAACAGTTTGGTTTTTTCCCCAAGAGTGCTACCATTATGCAATCTTTCAAAAATCACTTTAATATTAAAAAAAGGAAATAAAATTAAACATATGGTTATGACAACAGGTCAGGCAACATAAAAGGATAACAGCAAAACAAACCAATCAACCCAGCTGAACAAAATAGCAATTCTGAAGAGCATGGCAGCAGGTTTTATACCATATAACAAGAGTTATGACTTACTTCTTGAGTGATTGCTGGTCGGAACTGTTTGTGCAATTCAATAATTATTCTTAAGCAAATCAGTACATTTTCTTCATTCTCTGTCTGGAAAAAAAAAAAGAAAAGAAACTTTTTAGTGAGCTAACTGCTGAATTCTCCAACTACTCAGTGGGTACTTCAAAACCCTGTAAAATTATATTCTTCTCAACAATCTGAAGTGCCCCATCAACATGGGTTTGTGTGAGCAAGATGCCTTTCCTTGGATACCCTGCAGCCCTAGACTACGGCTGAAATTAAATCCACCCCTGGGGGAATAAAACCCAGACATTTCCACCACTCCGTACCATCAGGTCTGTTCCCATTGCCCCTCAAAAAGAGACCTCCATGTGAGCTTCCAATGACAGTGTTGTGAATTCCTAGATAGCTTATTTTTGAGAGCTTGTTTTCTATCTGCCAGAAAATCCTGCCCAGCATGAGAACAGCTCCCTGCATTTGTAAAATCCAAGTTTCTAAAGGGCAGAAACTCCAAGTTTCTAAAGAGAACATGCAGAAAACCTGTAGATGGTGAGAGAGGGCATGGGTGAAGCTTAAAACAGAATGTCTTTCCATTCCTGCTCCAGCAGCACAGCACAGATTGAAAATCCTACCCCCAGCAAACTTTGGAGATGAAGAAAGTAGAGGAAAATATTTCTGAAAGTTTCTGACAGTTTTAAGAGGAAGTAAAAAATACCTCTAGAAATCTGAACATCACAGACAGGATATTTTTAGTATGAAGACGAAGATGTTCATTTGTTGGTATTCTGTGAATTATTTCAAGCACAAGCTTCCGGAGTTGCTGTAAAAAAAAAAATAAAGGAAAAATAAAAATAATGATATGACAGAACTTTTTGAAAAGGCCACAAAACCCAACAATTAGTTGCAGCATCTTTTTCAGCTTAATAATTCTGCATGCTGAAATAGAAAAAAAGCCATTTTATTTCATGTAAACATAGGCTTGTGTACAAAGACATAACTCTTCCTACTACCCACCTATGTGAATGAGGCAAATGTAACTAATGTACAGCTGAAAAATTAGACTTTTTTTAAGGAATACAATTTCAAGTATTTAATGACAAAGATTCAACTTTTGCCTTTCATTCCTAACCTTCAGTAAAGTCAGTAATTTGTAACAATGTGTAGTATTTCACAAAGAAAGCCAATTCTGTTGCACCTACTTTTCCTCCTTTTTCACAGAAGCCCAGATCAGCAAAAGTTTATAAGTAACTTATTTAGAAACAGGACTTTTTCAGCTCCACTCCAAATGACAGATCTATTTTTAACGAGTCTTAAATCAGTTCATTAGGTTAATCAAGGACAGCAAAAAGGCAGGAGATGCTCCACACAGTTTACCTGTGCTGGCTTCTCCTGCAGAAACTGAACTTCCCCATCCTGTAGAAAGGTGAGAAACCGAGGGATGATGTGTTCCAGGAACGTAGAATATTGAGGGGATGATGTCACATTCTAATTAAGCACAAAAAATGGGGGCTTATAAAATAGACATCACACAGATTATACTCAGTTACATTCAAAGCCACTATTAAACATTTCCAGTGAATTTTGAATAGATTCAGTGACTAAGTGCTGACACTACAGAACCACATGAGTTCCAAGAGAACATTAGCAAAACAAATACAAGCCCTTCCCTACTGAAGGGAAGAGCAAAGAGAATCAACTAAGTCTTCAGATTCTAACATATCACCAGCCTAAGCAGTTAAAACTATTATTTTAGTCAGATAAATTTTTTCAGAAACAGTTTAAGCAGATAAACTCCAGAAGAATCATTTTTCGTTTTCTATAACAACAGGCACGTAACAACTAAGTATTCAACTAAAGTATAATTTCTGCTAACACAAGGCTGGGTTAACTTGTGTTTCACATTTTCTCTGCTGCTCATCTAAAAAGATGGTCCATCATCATGCAAAAGATGTCCCTGGAGACATCTCCACTCCTGATGTCAGATTCTGCATCTGACAACTCCTCTCTCATTTCCACACCGTGGAATATTCAGAGGAATCTGAAGGGCCTCTGTTTCACAAGAGCACAATACACATTTGAACTAAATAAAAGAAAGCTCTAAATACAGACGTTTGACATCATTCAAAAAATAGAAGAAAAATTTCTTACTTCACTTTTATTTAAATGTTAATGAATTTGGCAATGAAAGCTCACTAAGTCCAAATGTAATTCTTCAACAACCTGGTTAATTCCTAAATACAAACCTAGAATCAATGACTTGTAACCACATAAATCATTAGTCACAGGATACTACTATTAATATTTTAACTGCATAACATCAGAAATTCAATTAATATACATTAAGCACAAGAAAGTCTGCCATTGCAGAAAGTTAGGAGGGTTTTGTTGGGGTTTTGTTGCTTGGGGTTATTATCTTTTTATTTACCTCAAAATTCTCACTGACTTCTTGCATCATTTTCAATTTGGTTTCATCAGCTGAAAATGAAAATTCAAGCAGAAAAATGTGAGTGTAAAGCTAGGTCATGAAGGAAAACAACAAACTCATTGATCAAAGAAGCAATCAGATCTTATCAGTTTAGCTATCACTGCCCAACTATAAGACACACAGTTCTCTCAAACAACCACCACACAACTGCACACACACACACACAGCTCACTCACTTTGGCTCATGCAAGTGTTTCTCATCATTTTGCTTCTTCAAAAATCAAAACTCAAACAAATTTCAAAGTGAATTTGACAGATTTCACTGTCTCTTTCATCAGCTGTTCAAACAAGTCTGCAACGCTTGTGAAACAAACTACTGAAGAGCTGCAATTTACAAGAAGAAAAAAGTCTCTTACGTGTATTGACATCTGTAAGAGCAGCCACAAACTGAAGGTATTTTTTCATCAAAGTGGTTTGGTCCACCACCGTAGGCCCTTGTGCTGAAACAAATGCCATCTTGGAGGAGCAAAGATCAGCTTTCAGTACATAAAATCAAGATCAACACACCTACAAAAGAATACAGAAGTATTTGTTAGTTTACACAGTTTGTAAACAGCAGCTATCCCATCACCTCCATCCATTCTTCTAACATACTGAAGAGGACCACCTTTTCCAAAAAGCACAACTGTAACATTTACTTAGGGCTTACAAATACAACACCAAGCACGTACAGCACTCATTGTGACAGGACTTCACTAACAGATGAATGTTTATTGAGCACAAACATTCACGTGTTCTGCGCGGTTTCCTCTCTCCCAGCAGCAGGCTCCAGGCTCGGGGATGCTCCCGACACCGCACACCTGTCATCCCCTGCCTTCTGCCCCAAACTCACAGCGACCCTCGGACACCCCCCTGCGGGACTCGCTCCCAGGACCGCCTGCAGCTGTCCTGCCGCCACAAGCTGCCTGTCTCCCTCGTAAAGAAGCCTAAAATCACATCTAGCTTGAGACACCGGCGATCTCCCTCCTCCCCCGGGGGGTCCCCGTCAGTTTTGCTCCCGGCCAGATCCGGCCGAGCCAGCCCGGGACCCCGCGCCCCTCACCTTCCCCGCCGCAGCGCTGCTCGCCCGGGTCGCTCCCCGCCGCCAGGGCGCCGTCACGCCGAGCCCATCTCCGCCCTGCGAACACGGGCACCGTGAGCGGCCGCAGTGGCGTTTCCCCCGTCCCTCAGCCCTCCCGGTGCCGCGCTCGGCCCCAGGCCTCCGGCGGGGCTCCGGCCGCCCCCTCCGGCCCGCAGCGCGCCGGTCCCGCCTCCCCCCGCCCCGCTCCACCGCGCCCAAGCCCGGGCCCCACCGGGGCGCCGCCACCGCGCTCCTCACCCCGCGGCTCCCCGGGACTGCCCGGCCGCGGCCCCCCGGCTCCCTCCTTTGTTGCTCCCGGAGGCCGGCGGCAGCGCATGGGCGCAACGGAAGCGCCCGAGCTCAGTTCCGGCCGCCTCCTCCCGGTGCCGCCTCCCGCGCCTCTCCCCGGGCGGAGACGGGCACGACACCGCCTTCCGCGCCTCTCCCCGGGCGGAGACGGGCGCGGCTCGGACCGCCGGTCCCGCGACCCTCGCACAGCCCCGCCTTGACCCGCCCCGCCGGGGCGCTGCCGGCGGCCGCTGCCTGAGGCCAGCCCCGCCCGTCCCCGCGTCCCCGGAGGCTCGGCTACCGCCGCGGCCGCCGGTAACAGCCGGAGAGGAGTTACCGGGGCAGGGGCGGCCGCGGCCGGTGCCTCCGGCCAGCGCAGGGCCCGCTCCGCCCCGCCGGTGACCCGGGGGAGCGGCGGCACCACCGGAAACGAAGCGCGCAGAGAGACTGATCCGCCAGAAGAAAGAGCGAGAAAGAGCTTCGAATGTTGAGTTTAAGAAAACAAAAAAAATAAAAGTAAACGAATGAAAACCCAAATATACAAAACAAAACAGGAAAAAACAAAATAAAGCAAGAAAAAAAGAACACTAGAAAACCACATTCCGGCGCTTTTGCTGTCGCTCCTCTCCAGCAGCGCACCCGTTACAGGCCGTTCGCAGCGCTGCGGGACCGGTAACAGCAGCCGAACTGCCCCCGCAGAGGCATCCCCGCGCCACCGCAGGAATACTTTATATGTGCTTGCCGCAACCAAAGAGCAGCACAAACCCCTTCCCAAACGCTCCGGGATGTCCTCACGCTCTCGGCAGATGGGAGGCATTTGTGGTTTTTATTGACTATTTGTATAAACCGCCGGCGGCTCTGCATCCCGGTGGCGCAGCAGCGCGATCCCGCAGGAACTGCCCCCGGGAGAGGCGGGCTGGGCGCTGCCGCGGGGGAGCGTCCCGGGGGCGCGGACACGGAGCCGCAGTGCCGCGGGGCAGCGCGGCCCCAGCGCGCCCAGAGCCGCTCCCGCTTCGAGAGCCGGCCCCAGAGCCCGTCCCCGCCGCCCCCAGCATGCGGCGGCTGCTCTGCGCGCTGCTGCTGCTGCAGCTGCTGCAGCTTGGCCGCGCTCGCTCCCCGGCCGCAGGTAAGGGGTCGCTGGCATCGCCGCCGGGGAGAGGGCGAAGGGTGCGGGGTGCTGGGGGCGAGGGCTCAGACCTCAGGAGTGAGCTGCATCACGGATGGGGGTGGTTCCCTGCCCGAGCCTGATAGGTGTGACAAGGGATGGAAGCAGCTCTGGACACGCTCCCACCTCTCCAGACTTTATTTTCCAGCTCTGCGATCTTGGTGCCTGCAGTGAAGGTGGGGCATCCCGGGAAGCCGGGGTTCTGATTTGCACTTCTGACCCAAAAGTGCACTTCTGATTCACCCGCTGACCCCGCGCCGCAGGTCACAGGGCACATGGGCAGCTGCTGTCCCTCGCTGTGGCACTCACAGAGCTCAGTTCTGCAGAGAGAGGTCGGAGAAATCCCTGAATTGGATGGAGTGTTTTGCTGTGCCGGTCACTCCCTGGGTGACCTTGGGTTAGCCACTGAACCCAGCTGCTGCAGCTGTTGGAATGATATGGCCCTGATTTGTAAAGCACCGCGATATCCTCCAAGGAGAAGTGCTAGATAAGCATGAGGTAGTCAGCTATTTTTTTCCTGAATTCTGCTGGAACTAAGTGGAACATAGCCTGAATCTTCTAGAGATAGAGACATGAAACCTCCCTCTGCCAGATTTCATCAAATCACAAGCATTTCTCTTTTAACTCAGAAAATTGAACTCAGGGCCATTTCTTGTGCTGTGAAATGGGAACAGTGGAGTTCTTTCTCAGGCAGTAGTGTTACAGTTCATTTCTCACAGTTCTTCTGCCTCCAGAATTGTTCAGCATCTGTGATCTGTAAAATAAAATGCAGGCACAAATGCCATCTCTTTCATCTCATCCCAAGATGATGGGTGCAGAAAAGCCAGCACAGGAGTTAGCTAGCCCCATGCTCCCTTCGTATCAGAGGCCATGGATGAGTGAGAAATGCAGTTTCTAAAGGTCAGAGATTCAGGTGCCTGGTAGCATTCTGGTGGCTGCTGAAAGAGGGGATAAGGAAAGGCACCTGCCTATAGACCCCCCCAGCTCTGCTGCTCTGCCCAGCACTGCTGATGAGAGGAGAGCCAGGCAGAGCTCTGACACAGGGAACTTGCTCCATGCTGGAGGCAAGCAACCAGATCCTGCTCCCAGCTCTGTCCCAATCCACAGCTATTTTGCTTTTCCTTTTGTTTTGGGGCTTAGGGGTTGATTTTGTTGTTTAACACATGCACATTCTTTAATGCTTCTGCACTGCTTTTTTTTTTATTTTTTTTTTTTTTTATTTAATGTATTCTTTCCACAAAACTCCACACTGTCTATTGCAGTAGTTGGAAGATCTGAAGTAGTTTGAGTAAACATGGCAGAGAAGATAATGGTGAGTCATTCAGAGCAGCAGAGCTGGCTCCGCATCACAGGTCCTGCACCTCTCATGCCTTGATGTCTCACAGAATCATAGCATGGTTTGGGTTGGAAGGGACCTTTCAAGATCATCAAGTTTAACCCCCTGCTACAAGCAGAGACATCTTCAACTAGGTCAGGTAGCTCAGAGCTCAGTCCAACCTGACCACGAATGTTTATACTGGGCCAGTGTTTCACCACCCTCATTGTGAAACATCATCTCCCTCAACCTGCTGGCTGTTTTTTTTTTGTTGTTGTTGTTGGCTCAAATCCACATTTTCATCCACCAGTACCCCAAGTCCTTCTCTTATCCCTTCATCCCCTAGTCTGTACTGAACACCGGGCGTTACCCCAATCCAGTTGCAGCACCTTGCACTCAGCCTTGTTCAACCCCATGAGGTTCCCATGGGCCCACTTTTCCAGCTTGTCCAGGTCCCTGTGGACAGCAACTGAGCTGCCACTACAGCATGGTACATCTTTTATTTGCCTTAGGACTTCTGGTCCTTCCCTGGAAAAGGAAATTTAAGGTGGACCATAGCACAGAAAATGATTTTACTGAGTTTTTTTATGTTTACTTATGAGGAAAGTTAGATAAATTTTTCAACAGAGCTGGCAAAGGCATCTAGTGAATGAAATCTCACCTGAGTTTGAAAGTTTACATCATTAGGACAGAGATTAGAGCTGAGCCTCTTCCAGTAGCTGGAAGTCTAGTGATCACATTAGATCATTAGTGACAATGAACCTGTAGCCAGCACCCAGCTCTGGGTGTAAAACCTCATCAAAGATTTTGTGATGTCCTAGACTGAAGCTGTCTTCTACTACAAACATTTCTAGCACCCAGTCTGACATGTTGTTTACTGCTATTTATTTGAACTCATATAAACATGCAACAGTTTCTGTTCCAGATTTTAAACAGTAAAAAATTATGGTGGTAAATTCTTTGCTGGGATAAGTGTCATTGTAAGTCATATTACTAGAGGTGACTAGTTCAAATGTATAAATAAATAAATGAAATTTAAAATGCCATACAACAAGGTTTGGTTTACTCATTTTCTTGTGCTTTCCACAGAGTTGTATAGTCTGGAAATAACCAACAATGGTCCCATCACAACGGGAGCTCAAGCTACTGTTCAAGCCAGGCTAAGAATGAAGAATGAAAATGTCACATCAAACTGGTATCACTTTAACTGGGTCTATGCTCCTCTGATTCTGATAGAGAAATTCGAGCAGCAGTTTAATTCCATAATTAATGTGACTGGTGAATTCCCTGGCACTTTCCCTGTGTCTGTCTGGGTGACTCACAAAAACTGTTGGTTGTGTCGGCCGATTGCAAGAAACATCACCGTGCTCCAGCTTACAGGTAAAATGGGCAAAATGGCTTTACACCCTGTACCTCTCCAGGAACTCAGTATACATGCCCCTGCAGCATCAGGGAGAAAGCCAGTGTAGATATGGCTTCTGACAGCAGAGTTTGATTTGTAGCCCTGTGGCTGAAGGTGGCTTTGGGGGTGTGGTGCAATCAGTACCTTTACAGCCACGCTCTAGTCTCTCTACACCAGGAGGAAAGTGTGGTGCTGCCCATGTTTTCCTACCTCTGTCACTTAGAGAAACTGAACTGGAAACCAGATGCTTCAGCAGCTGCAATTCACACATCAGCATGGATCAGTGATGTCCAAACTCCTAGAACAATGCTTCTTTTACTGCCTCCCAGCATTTCTAGACCTAAAGTTAGGACGACCATCAGCAGTGCCAATCTCCTGCTTTCTCCTGTTGCATGACACAGCAAATCTTAGCCCATCAGCACAGCAGAGCATTACATTTTCTTTTAAAGGTCTGTCTGAGTGCACTGAAATTGGATCTAAAGTCATGGCTGCATTTCTAAATGTTGCTAAGTGCAACTTCAGTTTTTTGGGAATATTCATAACCATAAATATGCTTTTTTATTTACAAATTAACCACTGGTGTGCTATGGTTAACCAAATCTCTGATACAGGGATTGACAGCCCCATTCCAACAGTAACTGCAATTATTATTTGTGCATCACCAAAAAAAACTGTTAACCAGATTTAATGAATTGTTAACAGGATAAGAGTCTGTTACTGGTAATCAATAGCCCATTAATTTTATAATGAGCTGGTGTCTCATAATATTTCTTTGTTCACAGGTTAGAGAGGATTTTTTTAGATCAGTCCTTGCCACTCTTTGTCCAACAAAGAACATCTCGCTGACAAAAACATCCCCCCTTTCTGTATTCACAATATATAGCACGTCTGTTATTCACGGTAGTCAAATTTTAATTTCTGTAGAAATAGCTAAAACTAAGGGGGAAAAAAAGCTACATTAAAAAATCCAGAAAACAAACAAAAACCACCATCCCAGACATGATGAGCTTGTGTACTGGCCTGACTCTGAAACTAGATGCTTGATATTGATACCAGTTATTTTAAAATAAATAGTAAAAGTTTATATTGAGCTCAATCAGTCCAGGATTATTTATCTTAGTTCTACTGATGTTTTATCATGACCCATTGTATAACCCTCAATAAATATTTTAATTTCACTGCCTCATTCACACGCATGACAACACTGAGTAATAGATGTAAAATACACTTAACCACTTGGACTGGGACACAGCAAGACTTACCCAGTACATCTGAAAGAATGTTTTCATGCACACACAGAGCATACTGTAGAAGCATGCTGCCATTCTTCTGTCACATATGCTGCCATACATGCTGTCATTCTTCTGTCACATATGTTGTCATTCTTCCTTCCCCTCTTTTATTCTTCAGAATTTATCACAGGGAACCTCAACATAGCCCAGATAGAACACAGCAGAGTTACCACACATGGTTCTAGCTCCTCCACAGACACAGTGACCCGGATTTCTTTCTCTCTTCATGACCCAAGTCATTACTTCAAGTCAGCATCATTTGTCTACAACTGGGATTTTGGAGATGGGTAGGTGTGGTTACTCTGTTTGCTTTAATGAGTATTCAGGATGGCTCTGATGCAGATGTTCATCTAGAAAAAAATCCCAATAAAATCAGTTAGCCAGTAGTCTGCAGGCTATAAATGTTGTTTTCATAAATTTTGTGAATTCTTTTTTTTAGTTTCTTTAATTAAACATGTGGAGATTAACTCTGGATCTTGCACTAATTGTAGTTCTATAGGTAATGCCACAGACATAAATCCTCGTTTATATGGTCATAAAGTAGTATTAGAATCACAGCCACTGGAACGTTGTCTGTAAAGAAAATATATTAGAACTTGTCCCTTTTTAAACCAGAAATATGCAAGCACTTGGTAAAAGGCAGTTTTGATGCTAAATGTTCTCCTGTTGCACACAGAGTTTACCAGATTACCAAGGAGCCCTTTGTCTACTGCAACTGCTCCTCCAGGGGGAACCGCACGGTGCATCTGAAGGTCGTAGCTGAGTGGGAGCAGACTGGAAGCATCATACACGAGAGAGAAATGATGCAGAAAACTGGTGATTTTACCACAGCTCTGGAGCTCTTGGGTAATTATGAAACATTTTGCACCTCCAGTGCAGAACTAGCCCTACATGTACAGATACAATCTAGCTTTGACGTGGTAACACAACTTCAACGTTGTTTCAAGCACAAGGACTGGTCAACATCATTCGGAGAAGTGTTTCAATTGCAGAATTGACTGCGTGCTCTTCTAGGGCGGAAAAATCGGTGAAAACAGATAAAATCTTCAGTTTCTTTTTAATCTGCAGACAATTTTACTGTCTTTTATAAAAGTCTTACACACAATTCAAACAACAAAATGTTCATGGTAACTTATGCTGGATTTGTTTGTTCAATTTACACCAGCTATCCCTAAACAATAAATCCGTTAAATCAAGCATTAGGAAAGTCTCATTGATTTGATCAGCTTCAAGAGTAAATAAACACAGAATTAAAAATGTAAATAATTAATAAAGTTGATTATACATATAAAAAGGAATCAGACAAAAAGTCAGGAGACTTACAACATCTCTAGTGGTAGGTTTCCTTTTGGGGTGTGAGAAAAATAGTATTATTTGTGTGACTGATGAAGCTCAAACCTGCAAGTCTGTGCTGTGGAAACAAACCTTCACTGGGAAACCAGTGAGACTTAAGTTTACACGTGTTGTGTGACATCCTTGGCTTTTCATTTCTTCTCAGATGCTGTTAAAAGTATTAACATAGTGGGCTCCAGAGAGACTCACGTAATGGAAAACTTGAATTTATCTCTTCATATCAATGGCACGTAAGTAGCAAACACAACTTCTTTCCCCCCTCATAATTGTCTCTTTAAGTGTTTTTCCCCAATGTTTACTAAAAATAGTCTGTTGAACCCCACAGAACAATTATTTTTAAAAAAACCAGAACCACCTCCTTCCCCCTCAAAATACTGCTGAATATTGCACTTTCCAGACTTGAAATGCCATGGGCTCTAGGAGCCTGAAAGACCCTTCATCTTTACAGAAAAGTAGAATCCTCTTAGGTAAAGCAAATGCCTTTTTTTTTTTTCATTCTTGGTAAAGGGAATGTTAAAAGACAAGTAGCCAGAGAAATAGTGGGGGAAAATACATCTGAAAGCTTCTTTCTGAACTTTTCTCCTTCATCAATTTCCCTGTTATTAAATTGAAATATATTCCAAGCCCTGTTGCATAGCAGCAAAGCCTGACTGGCATCGGGGATTAATAGGTTTGGGGAGTGATTCTGGCAAAGTTCAGATTGCCACAAGATGAACAAGACACAGAAGCCCCATGCAGCAAGGATCATAGAAAAATAGGAGGGTTGTGAGCACCTCAGTCCTAGCACAAGCTCCCTCAAGTTGCAGCATTAGAGCACATTGGAGTTTTGGAGTGAGCAGCACCCAAACCGAATCATTTAGCAAAGGCATAAACAGTCCCAACAGACAAAGCAGCACAGTTTCCATTCAGAAAGTGAAAGGCATATTGGCAGGAATGGGAACTGGAGATGGCATCCCAGTAAAGGGGAACAGCCAAATACTGTGACAGGCAAACCTGAGATCACTTAGAGCAGGCTTGGTGACCTCCTAGTCACAGGACTGGGGCTGATGCAAGAGGAGTTTAAGATAGAGATGCAGGGACAAAGAGATGGGTTATCAAAAACAAAGCTAGAAAATGAGCTAAACACATAAACATGATGCTTTCTTTAGCAAAGAATGTTGTAATGAGATAAGAAACAAAAAACTAATAAAATAGGGTAAAGAAAAGCTCTGTCTGTTGTCAGAATCAAAGTCTATAGTGCATAAGGTGAGTTCAAGCAGAATCAGTTGAAACAGGGATCTGGAAAGGTAAATAAAAGGCTTCAGTTAGATGTGGTGAGAAGCCACATGGCCATGAAGTGCACTAAATTGCTGGATAGCAAATAAAAACCCTTTTGTTATTGTAAGGGAATGCTGTGATCCTTGAAATTTACTTACATTTTCCATCTACTAGTCCTTTGTGCAGAGCTCATCTTATATTCTTTCCAGGTTCATGTGCAGGGTGTTTTAAATAAAACAGTCTTGGGTGTGCTTCAGTGGTACAGACAGTGATCTCTGTGTGAGAAGGACAAATTAAAAACTACCTTCCCTTGGAAGTGCAGGAAAAAAGATTCCTTTTATCTTTATTGGATAGGACTTTATTGGAAGGACTATGGAGTTTTCTACACCCAGTGGCCCACTGATGACCCTTGCAGGTATTCAGCTCTCAGGTGAAAGACCTGCCTTTATAGAAGCATCACAAAGAACTTTTTCATTTGGCATGTGCTATAAACCAAACAACAGTGCAGTTTGTTATTTCTTTATTTGTATCTAAATTAACTTCATTAGTTTAAAAATTATTCTGCTATTTTAACCAAGCTCTTTGCTGAAATTTTGTGCAGAGTTTTCACCTTTTTTTTATTTGGCCTTTTTGCTCTTGTCGTTTCAGCCCACCACTGGCATTATGCTGGCTTATAAAATCCGAGTGCATTCCACTTGAAGGTGACAAATGCCATCTGGTGGAGATCAGTGGCTCCTGCTACAACCTCAGCCACACCTTCAGGGACGCGGGGCAGTATTGCCTCAGTGTCAGGGTGGAGAACGGCGTGACAATGCTGCAGACCTACCACGGGATCAAAGTGCGGCCAGCAGGTGAGGGGCAGGGAGTCGGAGCAGCACGGAGAGTCCCAAACAGGTTAGGAACAAGCATGGATTAACCAGCCTGCAGATGAGGTATCAGGAATGTGGTGTAGATCCCTAAAATGAGAGGAATGAGAATTTATAATGTGCCTGCTGCAATTGCCCTGAGCTTCTTGTGTTCTGCTGAACCCTCAGTCCCAAGAGTGTCTTGAAGCTACTAAGTACACTGGGAAGGCTGTATTACTTAGATGAAATATTTTTCAGTTTAAATAGTCCAGCTTTTTTAGTTAGAGAGGATAACTAGGAAAACATAAGCATCTGAAACGCTACCTTAATTAAACAGTCTCAATTCTTTTTGCTTAGTTCAGTTATGGAATTTTGAGGGTAGATTTTTCTAGGCCTCTGTTTCATTCCAAGTCTCTGTCCCTCCTGCCAGTGACCCCAGCTGGCTCCCCCATGTGTGGTCACACATGGCCCTCTTGGGTCCCTAAACCACCTGGGAGAGTGGTTAGGTGCCCAGGGGAAGAGGACGGGGCACAGCCAGGCTGTGACACAGAGTGGTCACACCATGTCACTGTGAGCCAGCTGTGTACACACAGGGCAGCTCACTCCAGAAGGCACTGGTGTGCATGCAGGGCTGAATCCTCTGTGCTGGAGGCTCTTGGCTGCTGGGAAGGTGAGAGTCCTTCCCGTTGTCTTGGGGTAGCCCAAACACTCTGGGGAGTCAGGGGTAACATATGTAACTGGGTAGAGGTTTCTAGGCTCTTCAGTGCAAAGGAGGGCATAAAGGGAAAGACCCTTACAAATCCCTCTCCCACTCCTGAGATTTCAGAAACACCTGGAGTGATTGGAGCTGAAAAGTTTATTCCTTCTTACACACATTCCTTCTTTTTTCTAAAAATACTCCTAAAATTTCATTATTGTTTCCTTCTCACTGTTGCCTTTTTCTGGGATATTGTGTCACTCCAGAAATGCATCCTTGTGCTTTTTCCTAGGAATCCACCCAGCTTTCTTTGTTCTGCTCTGCACTGCTCTGGTTTCAGTGATGCTAATACTGGTGCTGTACATGACTTTTCGAAGTCACACACAACAAAAAGATCTCGTGGAGGTATTCAGTTACTCTTACTTTGAGCTGGGATAGTAATTAGGTAGCTTTCAGCCATGAAAGGTATCTGATATGAAAGATTCTTTAATCCCCAGACAAACAGAGTGGGAGGGAGAATTTTCCTGCTAATTGTGATTCTCCCAAAAAAAAAAAAAAAAAAAAAAAAAAAAAAAAAAAAATCCAAGCCGTGTAGGCAAATGAAGAAACAGCCATTCTTCTGGCTTGATGCAGAGAGCTCTGAATTGTCAGAATAATAATGGGCAGTTTTTTAATATTCCCAAGCAGATGCTTGCATTGAAGTATCCATTCCAGAGGATCTGTCTCACAGTAGTTACATGAAAGAAAGCAAGGAGACAGTGCAAGAGGGTACAGGATAATAAAAATAAACCTAAAGCAGCCCTGAATTGTTACCTACCCCTTGTATGTGGCCTTCATCTCCCCAGCTCTCTGCCATTTCTAATATACTTTCACTTGCTACAAAAGGTGCTTGCAATAAGCATGAGTTCTTAAATCAAAAGTAGCTTTCACGGTACTTATGGAAAGTACCTAATACCCTTTACACTGTGCCACAATATAAATTATATACCTCTAGAGACACTGTCTATAAGCCATGTGCACAGCAGGTATAAATCAGAAGCCTATTTGAAGTTAGTGACTGAGTGAAAATGGTTGAGGACCAAGTGCCATTTGTAGCCCAATGTGCTCTTGCTGGATTTGAGCCAGTGGGAGCTGAACTAAAAGTTATCTTTTTGATGTTCCTTTCCCAGGTAGCTGACTTTGACTTTTCTCCACTGTCTGATGAACACCGGTCTAATCATTCCAAGTCAGGCTGTGGCCCAGTATGTTGCAGATATTGTTTTCTTCAACCATCAAAAGAAGATGCCTGGGAGAGTCATGAACTTCTACATTCACTTTACAAGCCAGTCAAAATGTACACACTGTGAAGAACACAATTGCACTTTGGTTGCACTAACTGTCTAACTTTCTCACTTAGGCTAAGTCAAAAGCCTGGTGCTGCATGAATGGTTTGGTTTTACCAGTGCAATGAGGTTCACCACTTTAAGTCCAGCACTTGAGTACTTCATTTTCTGAACTTAAAAAGAACAAGAAACACAGTAAAAGTAGCTTTGTATTTTTAACTTATACGGGTGTGTACATTTACAGCTGTAAATGCAGCATTTTATTCTTATGAAAGATTGTTTTATGTGCAGGTTTGCTAAATTCACTACCTCTTGTAATTTCTCTGTTCCTTCTGTTCTCTGTTCCAAAGAAGAAAATGCCTAAGACAAACATACCTCCTTTCCTATGTACAACAGCATTACTGGAAATGGAAGTCACCCAAAATACTGTTGAATGTGTATTTCTTCTACCAAGGAACTGATGTGTCCACGTTGAAAACAGAGGTGTTTCCAATGAACCAGGCTGCCTAATTATGTTGTCCTTTTTCCTGTCTTAAAAAACTCCTTTTTAAGCTAATGGACTTCTGTCAGACTGCAGTGGTAGTGACATGCTCACCTGCTAGCAGTATTTTGGTGCTGCATAAACCTCCACATGCCCACCACTTTCTAAAATGGAATACCACTCTAATCTGTATAACTATCTTTTTTTTGAGGCTATTCATGTTTGTTTTATACTTCATATTGCTCCCCAATTAGCCATCAAAGTTCCTCTTCCAAAAAATGCAACAACTAGTAGCTCAAAGCTGTTCAGCAAAACATATTTAATTGAAATTTTTAATCAATGTTCAAGGCTGTATAAACTCCATGCCTGCTGCAGACTATCATCTACTATCAGCTTCCTGCTCAGCCAGGCTTTGCCCACTGGCATTTCAGAGTACCCTGGAGGCTTTTAAACAGAAGTGCCTTTGTGTCCACTTCTTTTTTTAAATGTGACACACCCTCCCCACCTCTGTTTAAAGCATATGTTACAGGTATTGTGGACTTAAGGTTTTTCATGTTATCTCAAATGATGAGAAGATAATTGTCTGAATGTGAGGGGATTTACCATGAGGTTTTTGGGGTACTCATCTCACATGTTCAACTTCTATGCTTCCTCAGAGGAGCCCAGAGCTTCAGTTCTTATGTGAAAGAAATTACATGACCCTTAATTAATTCGATACATTTAAAATAGAATAGGATCATGTAAGATAACAAATCCTATAAATCCAAGCTTTTGTCAAAAGGTCCCTTCCAAAGCAGAACCTCTTTCAGCTTTTCTTCCTTAGAAATGATATTTCTAAGCAAGCTTGTTGATTGAGAGTGGTGTTCTTTGTATTCTTTCTCAGTGCTCTGGTATCAAACTCTTATCTTCAGCCATATTCAGTTACTGCTAAGAATGTGCCTCTCTTTAGCAAAGAAGCTACTGTGTCTGAGAGCTTTAGATTCATTGTTTATTCCGAGATCCCAGCCCTCTGAGCCACTGCCAAAGGCAGTGACTTGTTCTGGGATGTCAGTGTAGTTTGGAAATGGCTACATGGTCCTTGGGCAGTGGAAAGAAGAGATTTCTGATATGCAAAATGCAGCTCAGAATGACAGAGTCCTGAGACTGCACAGGGGTTTCTGCAGCCAGAATTGGTTTTGGGCTTCTTTTATTACATTTGTGAAAGACATGTGGTCCTTGTTGTTGCAATACACTTAAAGACAACCCATTGACATGTTAATGATGTGTAAAAAGCCCTTTCTTCTCCATATTGTACTACTAGCAAAGACAATATCTGTGAGAGCAGACTCAGTTATAGATACATGAAACTGGCATCCTTTGGGTTTGAAACAGGTCATTTAAAAGGAATAAGACTTATTCTTGGCCCCCTTTTGAATTAATACCCAGGTGATCCAGAGTGGCATGGGGACTTAGGCCATGAACTTTGCTGCTTTGGGTTTTTGCGTTTGTATTTCTCCTCCATATGTATAAGCCAAGATACCACTGATCATGCCAAATCTGGCAAAGTAGGCATCAACCCCCATCAAAAAAGTCGGACATGGAGTTAGAGATACAAAAGACAGGCCTAAGAAAATCCCCAATTTCCTACTGAGAAAAACAGAACAAATGTCCTTCAAAAGAACATTGGCTCTTACTCTTCCTGGAGTGAAGAAAGGATGGCAAATGAATCAAATTATTCAGGAGGGTAGAAAAGATAAAGTGCTGCAAAGTAGAAAGTCAACAGTATCAAATACTGGAAGACACTTCTTCAAGAACAGACAAGAATAGAGGTTAGAAAGAAAGACATCTCTGGCAAAAAATAAGCAGTGGAGAAAGTACACTTAAAAGGGTATGTCAAGAAGCCAATTAACCAAGAAAATTTAAACAGCCTTCGCAAATTGAAATATAAGTATGAGAAATATTCACACGAATATGTTTTTGAATCCAATATGAAACTGCTTCCTGCACAAAAGACTGATCTGTGGGTTTGATAAATGCATCTGAAATTGAAGACAAAAGGTAATTGAGCAGTTCAGGATATAGCAATGAGATTAGTGGGACACAGCACGGATCAGGAGGAGGATTCATTTTGTTAACCTTAGAAATCAATGACCTGAAAAAGGAATGTTCAGCACAAGGATCAAACTCACTGACTCAAAACAAGAGTCCAGTGAGTGCAAAGCCAAAGAGCCATTAAATTCAGGCGATAAGCAAGAGTGTGGGCAGATAAAAAATGTATGCAATGAGAACTTTTTACAAGGAAATGCATTTGAGCACAGAAAAGTTTTGGAAATGCACAGTAGAAAAACACACAGCAAAGCAAAAGAACTTCTTTTACTCGGTAATTTGTCATATAAACCATGGCGTTGGTTTGTGCAGTAATTGTGAGGACAAATCAGCCTTTTATCTTAAAAGCAGAGCATAAGGCTCTGTGGCTGAATGGGTCAAGGCTGAATTTCATCTGTCCTCTCTGGAAAGGAGATTACACAGCCCAAGCTGTTACCACACGAGGCCTCTGTAGCATTTGCTGGGTGCTGTAGGAACAGAGGTTTTCTCAGCAAAAGGAAGGTGAAGAACTTCATATTTAAATGCTCAGCTTTATTATTAGATAATCAGCCAACACTTCACCTTGATTTTTGTGCTAGTTTCCGTGGAAACTGAAATGCCATCTTGCAGCTGTCACAAAATTGCTCAGATCCTGCAGATCTCAGCTTTGACAGCACACCGTGCACTACAAATGTGGATTTTTAAACTGCAGCCACGAAAGTGGGGAACACAGAAGTTTCAGAAACTTCTTTCAGAGCTGGTATACTCATCACGAGCATGTGTAACTCCTGCAGCAGTGTGGACAAAGAGAGCAGTCACAGCAGATCATGGAATCATGAAGTCATAGAATGGCCTGGGTTGGAAAGGACCTTAAAGATCATTTAGTTCCACATCCCTGCCATGGTTGCACCAGATGAGGTTGCTACAAGTCCCATCCAACCTGACCAACCTGACCTTGAGCATTTCCAGGGATGGGGCATCCACAACTCTGGGCCTGTGTCAGGGCCTCAACACCCTCACAGTAAACAATTCTTTTCTGGCATCTAAATTAAACCTCCTCTCTGTCAGTTTGAAGCCATTCTGCCTTGTCCTGTCACTACATGTTCTTGTAAAAAGTACTCTCTCCACCTCTCTTGTCATCTCCCTTCAGGTAGGGGAATCAGGTCAGCCCAAAGCCTTCCCTTTTCCAGGCTGAACAATCCCAGTTCTCTCAGCCTTTCCTCACAGCAGGGTTGCTCCATTCCTCTGATCCCTGTAGTGATCTCCTCTGGATTCATCCAACAGCTCCAGGTCCTTCCTGTGCTGGGGGCAGCTCTGCAGGTGGGGTCTCACCTGAGGGGTGCAGAATCCCCTGCCTCTAAATGGTGTTTTATAAAATACTGCAGTCGTACAACTCTCCCAACTACAGGAGCAAATAATACTAGAGCACTAGAGAAAAGACTAGCCCAGCCAAATTATTTTCTAATGCACTTGCTCACAGCAGTCTTGGGAGGCAGAGAAGTGATATTATCACTGTTCACAGGAGGCAGAAGGGAGCCGTGCAGAGATATGGAGCTTGCTCGAGCACAGGCAGCTGCAAATACCTGCATAAAATTCGAGATTAAAAAGATTACAACCATCTACCAAATCCTTGTTCTTCTGTTGGAAATTATATAACTTTTCTAATTTTTAATTAATGGCTTTAATTAATTTAAATTAATTGGTTTTATTTAATCATAACCAGTGTATTAATTATAAGCAATGTGTTAAATTACTTTTAGCCAAAATTTAGCATGGGCTAAATTTGTATTGGGGGAATACAGCTTGGGGAAATTACAGAAACTTAAAGTTTTGCTTATCTAACTTTGATACGCTTCAATGAGCAAGGCCTGGGAGAGAGTGATGTATTGTTGAAATCGGATACGAGAAGTGAAAAATTTATGGACCACAAAGATGTTTTTCAGGAACCAGAAGGAAAAGAAGAAGATAACAAAGACTCAGTATATTTGTGTTGGAAAATCCCTGCTGAAGGAAAAAAGATACTAAAAAGACTAAAAATATGAATTAGCAGGAACAGTGAGAAATCCATAACCAAGAGAGGACAGAATACTAATTCATGAACGAATTGTGTGATTTGGAATCAGTGAACATTAATCTCTTTGTTTGCTAAAAATACACAAACAGGTGAAGAAGTTTTATATCAGCACCTTGTGTGGAGGCCGGGAAATTTTGCCGGCCACACAGACACACACACACCTCTCTTGAGCAAAATAAAGCAACACCTTCCTCGCTGGCACTAAAAGGTATCAGAGGGTTTATCTACCCCGGAGGGTTTAAAAAGGCTCTGTTAGAGTTTATTTCCCCGGCGGGCTCGGGGGTTTGCTGCGGCCTGCGGAGCGGGGCCGGCTCCGGGCCCAGGCCGGGCCCCGCCGCGCACCAGCCGGCCGGCAGGGAGCGCCCGCCGCGCGGGGATCTCCCTCAGCCGCCTCAGAGCCATGGC